TACCATCCACACTACCTGAGACAATTTTAAAGCCGGCTTCTTACCGTGTTTTACTTTTCCATCCATTAAGTCTGTTTACTGTCTTTCAAACTACATTTCTGCAGTTCTTTCCTCTGCTCAGTAAACTCCAGTATTACTGGACTCAGTTCTTCACACTTGTGGAGCACAGTTCTTTACAAAACATTTCCCTCCAGCATTAATGTACCTCTTGCTCTGAACAAGTTATTTCTCTTCCCTGAGGATGAGGATTAAATTGCACCTCAACACAGGTCCCATTCAATGGTCTCATTTAATACACCACAGTTGTCCTGTGACTTTTTATTCTGATGCTTTGGTTGCTTTGTCCAAATTTTTCTCTGGTTTTTGTTTGTTGGTTTTTACTATTTGCCCAGGTTGTATGAGGAAACACACTATTCTCACCACTTCTACTTTTTATCACCTAAATTTTACTTTTTATGTTTTGTCTTACCATTTTTTGTTTCATATACAGTAATTTACTCTTTTATTGGAAGTTTAGTTTATTTTTATTTTTTATTATGTGTATGTGTGTGGATATGTGCATGTGTGTGCACGCAGGTGGCCAAGGCAGCCAAAAGAATAATCCCAGCAGATATGCAATTACAAGTGGTTTTGAGCCACCAGATGTGGGTGATAGAAAACAGAATCCTATCCTTAACCATGCACTCTCAGTCCCTGAGCCATCTCTTCAGCCACTAAATTTTACATTCTAAAGACCATATCAAGATAAAGCAGTGATAATAGAAATATATTTTCAATTTTAAGGAAATAATGAGGTATATGCAAATGTTAAGTTTATTTGATTGTTGTAGATATGTTATTAACTTAATACTTTTATTTAATTACTTAATTAGCAATGTATGGATAGATGCACATTATGTTCATTAATTAACTGTGCATATTGATATCTACCATGTTTAGACTGCCAAGAAATTTGAAGCCAAAGGAAGGAGACTTCCATGAATGCTGAAATGTAGTTGAGTTTTAAGTAGAACCTTTTATTTTTCTATTTGCAACTTGTGTGGGAGGACAGAGAAGTGGTTGTTGAGATTGTGCAAGAAAGAGCAAGTTTGTAGACAAATACAAAAGATTGTGCAACAGAATGGTTTTGAAGACAAATGCAAGATTTGTTATGAAATGTCTTGTACTCAACAATCTTATACAACTTTTATCTTCTTTTGCATCTTTAAAATAACATTTCTCCATTAGAAAATCAGCAAAAAGTATATAAACAATGCCTTATATTAGTTTTTAATAATTTTGTTACTTCTAATTTAAAGAATAAAATTTTACTGAACATGTTAATATTTTTGTGCAATAAGATTTTCAGATATAGTTTATTTGTAAATCAGAGAAAATAATATATAGAATCTGATGAACACACTGGAATCACTAAAAAGTATTTTATTTTCTATTGGATGTTATTCCTAATGACTCCACATATGAAAATAATCTCAACACCCCTAAACCCATCAAGAACTTATCTGTGAAAATAAATTGAAACTATTGTGAAGAATCTTTGAGAAATATTGTCAGTAAATTATCTAATTGTCCTAATTAAAAATATATGTGTTAACTATTTTCTTGTATTTCTTCTGTTTTAATAATTTATGGATGATACTAGTGATAGGGCAACTAATTATAGGTCATTGATCTTTAATCACGTATCTTCTGTTTTAACATGTTTACTTATATTTACATACAACTTCAAATTTCTTGCCATCATTTAATCCAAATCAATAAATAAACAAAATCACTAGTACCATAGCTACCTTGCTTTTTTGACCAGTATTGTCTGGTAACAAGTCATATCACACAACAGTGATAATAAAATATATGCACTTCTTCATCTAGTCACACAAGTTGTCTTAACTAATTATTTTGCATGCAATTTATTATTTTTATAAGCATGAGCTCCCTAAGAGATGTACCAACTCATTCAGACTATATGGTACCCTGCTAAAGGAGAGTAATATTTGAATAAATAAATCCCTGATGGCCAGTAACCACTGTAATTTTTACATATGGTTAACTTACACATGAATTAAGACTCGTTTTCTATTCACTATTAAGGAAATGCAAGGTTGCATATTTTCAGAGATTCAAATAGAGTCTTAAATGAAATTTACCAATACCTCAAGAACACTGAGTTTTTTTTTAAATACAAGGGGAAATAATTGCATAAGACAGAGAGTCTAACAGAAATTGTTTTTTTACTTAGTCAGATGAAGTGGTATGGGAAGCATCATTACTTTCATATTGATTCAAAGAGCATAGGGTAATAGAAAGAAAGAGCCAATCTAATTTGTTTTGTCTTTATAACACATAGCTTTAGAGCCAGTTCAAAGACAAGAAGCCTTGTCTATGGTGAGGTTCCCCTTAGGTCATTTTAAGAGGGAGATAGCTTACTTCTTAGCATCATTATTTGACCCTGCCTTAGTTTGGAAGATTGAGGATGGGATAAGAGGTCAGAGAGTGAATTTGGACTATTCAGCCATGAAGGATTTTATATATAATCATTTGACAAAAATAGACATAGAGCAATGCCATTTCATTTTGTGAATGTCCTTAATGAAAGAAGGTTATAGAAAAATGAAAAATTGTTCTATATAAAATAGCAGGTTTCAAAAATTAATAAAATTATGAGCAATATGGAAAGCATCATCTAAAAACTAAGCATTAGTCACACATCTGACATTTATTTTACATCTATTACAATTAAATACAAATTTTCTTGAATCTTTCTTAGCTGTGCTTATAATTCTGTAGCAGTCCACATTTTCAATAGATAAGCACTAATATTCAGTTTGCTGTATCTTTATGAAATTATCATCACAATATTACAAAAAAATCATGTATTACCGATAAAAAAGTGACCATAATTTGTAGCTTTGTATTGGAGAACAAACACAATTTTATCCTACTTTATATTTGGATACTAGTAAGTTTATACTTGTGTTTTTAATATATCAACACAAATTCAAATTAAGTTGTATTTGGTGATAGTTAATGGGCCTTCTTAGTTGATGGGATAGGTGGAAAATATTTCAAAGCACTAAGTTAATTGAAGCAAACAATAAGGTTCAGATGTTTCCTTTTACTCTTGACAAAAAAAAATCATTAAAAAGAATGAGAGACTCATTAGGAGAAAGAATAAAATAAAATTACTCTAAGAGGTTAAGAAACACCTCCACTAGGCTCTGGTATTTCATATAAATATTTGTAAGGTCATAGTTTAGCATGCCATGTTTCAGTAGAATGGTACTTTAGTTTTGGGGTTGTTCATATGTGTTTTATTTGTCTGAATAAAGCCAGGGCCTAGGATTGGTGCTGACTTACACAGGCACCACTCATATTAACTGTTCGGGAAAATCAGACTGGAAACTTTGTAGTGAGCATGAATCTCAAATTACACATACCTTTCAATCCCATAGACAATAGCATTAGTATTAAATATATACCTGACTTCCTCATTTTTTTTTTAAAAAAATGTTTTCCTTCTAGATAAAAGGTCAAGTAAATAACTACATGTTATTTTCAACCGTCTTTTTATTTCCATATCAGTAAACTATGCCCGGGGAACTTAATTCCAATAATCCTTAAAGGCCAATGAGGGATGCAGTTTGAAGCTATACCCCTGTGGAAGAGTATGACATTATAGCTGTAACATATGTGACATGTCAAAGTCAAGGGGATAATATGCATTTTCAAAAAAATAAATATTTGTGATTACTTTTTCCTCAGATAAAAATAAAAGTAAAACATATCAATAGTGTTGTTTATAAACAGGAACATGTGAATTGTTTCTGAATGACTGTTTCATTTCTAGATAAAATAATATGGTCACATACACAATTATGGCAAAAGTAAGGCTTTGTTATTTGGCTTGCCTTCTCTTTCAACCTCCTACCTATCAAACACAAAGTACACACTCTCATCTGACCTCTATTTGTACTTCCAGAAAATGTTCTCTAAACAATTATGCATATCTTACTCGTTAAATGGCAAATATAATTGATCAAACTGCACTAGATGTGAAGTCTGTGTAGAGTGTCTGCTAACAGGTGACATATGGATAATCCTCACCGTATCAGTGAGAGCCTCGTGCCAGGTACAGATAGAAAACTTTTATGGTTGTTTGATACTGAGCATGAAAGCAACTTAGAACATGCAGATGATACTTTTCTATATCCTTCAACATTCATAGCAGAAATCCAAAGATATATATTTCATTAGAGATTGAGTAGAAGGAAAGAAAATACTGAAATATTTTCCATGCTTTCCATCATTTTCCCCCACACAGCATTCGCCTTCACTTTTCCCCTACCCACTGGTAAAAGTCCTCTAAAAATCCAACAACAGCTAGGCTTTATGAATAGTATATTCCTAACTTGGAATTTCAGACTTAACACTTGTCTGCCCAGTTCTCTCAGAAATAGAAACAACAACTCAGATATTATGAGCATCTGTTCTAAGAATAATTTGAAGTGAATGGGAGACAGAGTTCAGAAACTAATACCGAGTGAGGCCGACCATTAGTTACTGGAGAAAACGGGCTGATTATTGGTTACAGGTGTATAGGGTACAGCGGGAGTCATGACCTTTCTTTCAAGAAGCTAGGAGGAGAGAATCCACACGTTGCTGTTCGGTGAAAGATTCTTCAAAAAGCAGTTAGGTCTGTGCCGTGAAGGTTGACCTCCAATGGAGACCGAGCAATGGGGAGCAATCAGACAACTGCCAGGAAGGAACCAGTGGCCAGGATGCTCAGACATTGGAAAGAATTCTAGATATAGAAGGCATGAGCGCTCCAGGGTCAGCTGGACCCAGGCAGTATAATCAGGGCTGTCTGGTTAGACATCCTAGACATCATAGCATGGCAAGTCCAGAGGAGCTGACCCAGGGACAAAGTTACATGCAATAGTGGACAAGAGTGCTTACTCCCAAGGCACCCTCCTCCTCCAGCCCTCCGGTTTGTCCCTTACCTTGGTTGGAGACATGACTGCAGTCTCCTGTCCAAGCCGTCAGCAGGGGCAAGAAGAAACCAAATTGCAAAAGAAATTCCCGGACTTCGCAGCCCCCCATGGCTCTTGCCGGCTCTCTCCTCTTCCCCCTTAAAAAGAAGTGGCAGTATCGCAGCCAGGTGTTCCTAGGAGGGTTGGGGTCCTGGCCCAAGCTCTCTTCTTCTTCCTCCTCCTCTTCCTCCTCCACCCGGCCCGCAGGGGAAGTCCCGGGGCGCCTCCTGCGCGAGGCCCCGTGAGCAGGGCACGAGGGTCCAGGCTGTCCAGGTGCAGGAGCAGCTGCTTGGGGGGAGGATGCTGCCTGTGCCGCCGGGGAGCTCCTGGCGGCTGGAGGCGAGGGGAATTGCATCCACAGCCGTGTCCCGCTCAAGCGAGGACTATTCACTTGGGCCCAAGAGAGCGCGCGCGCAAGAGCGAGCTCAGGCTGTAGTTTGGGGGAGGGGAAAGAGGACGGGGGAGGGAGCCTGAAGGAAGGTACTGGGGCTTGGTAGGGATGTCCAGGCGTGTAGTAAAGGTGCAGTCTGGGGACCCAAGCGTCTCTCTGGACCCAAGCTGGCACTTGCAGAGCCCAGAGCAGAGGGGGGCACAGCAAATAGCAAGGGTAGCCTGGGCGACCAGAACTTCCCTGTGGCTGGTGTCTAGAGAACCAGGCAAATGAGGTTCCTGGGACTCTCCAGTGGTCCCAGTGAGCAATGAACTGAGCGCTCAGCCTCTTGACTGAGTGACCTGGTCTGAGTGTCCAGTCGTGGACACCACCGATTAGGTGGCATCTGCCCTCCCCCTTCCCCCGGCTTGGCAGCAGCTTACTTACTGGGTATCACTGAAGCTACCTTATTCCCCCAATCACTTGCGTCCCCCCTCCCCCATGTAATGATAGACTGTCAGCTCTGAACACCACCTTCCCTTTTGCCACATTTCTGCCGCCTCAAGGGGTGAGGGTTGCAGGTCAGCGTCCTGGGCACAGCTTGACGATGGCAGTGGTCAGCTCTGAAGTGTGTTGAGTGCCAGGCTCCCAAACTTGGCCACCAGAGCGAACCAGCAAGCTTTCTGGCCACCTTTCCCGTTCGTTTCCGAGTCCTTGGAAAGCATAGGGATAGAAGAAGCGATTGAGAAAAGTCACTGCAGGCTGAGAGTCGACTGGCGCCTGGCGCCTTGGTTCCTCTAGGTCTTTGCGTCGGCATACGGTGGTGACTTCGCCAAAGAGGTCACCAGCATCATCGTGGCAGTTTTGGTGCCGGACTTCCGAGGTCCTCGACAGCCCTCTGTTCGTCTTCGGGCTATGTGCTGAGAGCAGCCCAAGGGCTGAGGTCTGCGTGGCCAAGTCCAAGGCAGCGCACTCCGTGGCTGATGCGCTCTCCACGAGACGCCCCTTTTCAGCACCCACAGCCTCCCATGTCGGGGCGCTCCTAAGTCCTTGCACTGGCTACTTGGTGGGACCCCACCCTGAGACTAGGAACAGAGCTAGCTGATGGAAAGGGGTGTTACAACCTGCAGTCTCGGAGCTGTCGCCCTGCTGCCTGCCAAGACCTGTGCACGGAGGGCAGGGCCCTAGAGCTCAGCTGAGCTCGGTGGAAGCCCCGCGATCTGGCAGCAGCTGTGGCTCGGGTGCAGCCAATTCGGCGCTAGAGGGGGTTAGTAGACAACAAAAAAAAAATTTCTCTCATTGCTGGCAGGTGGAATTGCTTGCTAAACCTGGGAAAAAGCAGAAGGATGCATTCAGGCTAAACTTACAGGGTTTGTTGGGTCTCACTGTGGAGACTTTATCACTGGCGTTGTAATTTCTGTAATGCATTCGTTAATGTCATTGTCGTTTTCTCTATTGAAGGGATGAAGATTATCGGTCTTGAATGAAGATTTAAAAAAAAAGATCCATCTCCAAACTAGGAAGGGGTTATTTGAAGGTTTATTGATAACATTGGAGCAAAGTAAAGCGAATTTCTATAGCACAGAGGGGATATTTTCAAAGTGGCCAGGTGGGTTCAGGTCGGGAATGGTTGTGTTGGGAACCTTAAAAGGAGTAGGCTAAGACGAAAGGGTCAATGTTTTACCGGAAATTCTGGAAATGCAACACCGTTTCCAGGCATTCCGATGCTGCTTGGTGTTGTTTATGGTTCGCACCCTACTTAAGGGATTTCAATCCATGCCTTACAGTTAATCAAAGGGAAAGAAAAAGGAGCAAGGGACGCCCAGAGTCTATGAGCTGCTCTCATGGAGAGAAATGTAACATGCATGGGGAATGAAGCTTTCTAATTGGTGGCTACTTTCACACTCATTATGAATTCATAGATAGCTTCTCAAAGATGTCCACGCCAATTTAAATGTATGCAAATCACATCATCAAAGATGGAGTTCGTGTATTAGTGTTTATAGTAGTGAAATCTGATTTTGCTACTCATTTTACCAGTGTTACTGATACTGACTAATGACATAGGCACGTGCAAATTCAATTTAGTTTACTAACTCAGGTGTAAAATAAAAATCAACATGAGTACACCACAAGATATTCTTTCTAAGTAATCCTTTCGGAGTGCCTAATGACTATGCTGGTGGTTTGATTATATAGAATAATTCCCTTTTTTAAACACATTCTCAGTGGAAAATAATTAACATAATTTCAGCATCACATTTATAAATGAACATTTAGACTCAAGTTTTCATGCTTTATTTGAATCTCAAATTTGAAACAATTTATTGTGAACAATGGAACAGTCAGAAGCTATACTTAAAACCATATTAGAAGGGAGCAGTTCTAATGGAAAGAAAATGAAGGGGATAACAGAAAAAACGTGGTGGGTCATTCCCAAGACTCATGCTCGATTTCACAGCAGAATCCAATGTTTGAAACATCAACTTCAAAGTAGCTCTAACACTGGATTATACTGAGCTCCCTTCCTACTGTACCAACTGCTTGGATCCTATTCACCATTTGCTTAAATAAGCCATGGCAGAACTTCACATAACATGTATCACTTATGCAGATGATGATTGTCTTACTGGTTGTGACTTTTTAAGGAAAAAAAAAAACAATAGGGACAATATTTTTCCCATATTAAAGCAGGTGTCTTAAGTTAAAAAATACTTTGATACTGTTTCTTGCATTTTTAGAAGATAACGAAATCTTAGTTTTAAAATTAAATTATGATGACCATTGATCATAGACAGTCTGAAGTACTTTATTCAGGTAGAAAAGTAAATTATTACTTGAGTTATTAACTCCTAAACTTTATAATAACATCAATCAATAAAATAATTTGGCCATATAAATCCTCACAAAATATGCATACATAAATGCATTTTTATATGTTCACTTTTCTTCACCCAGGAAACAGTTAAGTGTAAACTAATTTGTATGAATAAAACTTATTTGTTGTATAAAACTTCCTTGGGACACTCAGCCATAAACTAAATACCTCCCATTAAATACCTCCCCTCACTGTTCAGGGAACCCAAGAGTAGGCAGAGTATGCATGGCGAAGGGGATGGAAGGCACCAAGATGCCAAGGCCCTATTACTCAACATGAGCAAAGCTTCTATGAACTCATAGAGACTCATACACTGGACCTGCAGGGGTCTGCACCAGGACCTCTTTGTATATATAATGGCTCTTCTGAGTGTGCAAACAAATGGGTCTTTGATTCTTATGCCTATTCTTGGGCTCTTTTCATTCTGTTGGTTTGCTTATTCCAACTTTGATGTGATGACTTTTGCTTTAGTTTAAATTTTATTTTGGTATTATTTCTCAGAAGCTTGTTTGTTTTCTAATGAGAGACCAAAAAGGGGTGGATCCAAATGGGAGATGGGGGGGGAACAAGGAGTAGCAGAGAGAGGGGATATATTATGTGAGAAAACACCCATTATCAGTGAAAAGAAAAAGACATAATAACTAGAATAAAACAGAGTCATGGGAATCATATGTGAACTAGATGCAATTGCTAAAGAGAGATACACTTCCATTTTTGTTTTTTAGCAGTGTTGTCATATTTGCTGACATGTGACAGCTTCAAAATTATAAGGCACTCAAAGAACCAGATGCAATATTCATGCAGATTTATCTGCACTTGTCTGTTTGAATCATACCAATATTCATAAAGGCCTTCATGTCCCATTTTTCAGAGCTATATTGTTCAGAATTCTTTTGTATTCTTTCAGAACATTGTTCTCTAAGATATATGTGATCTGCTTTCAGGTAAGAAATGATTACAATTTTGTTAAGTGAAAGATATATAACCCAAAAATCCAGCCCAACTAGACACTTATAGTAGAGAAAACAGTATTGAATGCTATTTGCTTTGTAAAATGATGAAAAGAGTGGAGATTTAACCTGCAATTAATTCCTTTGAGGAAAAACAAGGATTATATTGCTTAACACTCAGCATGTTTCAAGCATGGAGAAAGTCTCAAGTCTATTATTCTGGCAGAAAAGTAAATTAATCCATTTACGGCAGTAATTTGCATTCTCTAAGGTCAAGAAAGAAGAAACACAAATAAAGATCTCTGATGCTCAAAGATATCATGAAGCATCAGGTCTTAAAGGATTAAGTTTGCACTGCAGATATACACAAGTGCCTGAGCCTTTTTCCTGATAGCAAATTCAGTGACTTGCTCTAGACAATAATAATATTTTCATGGCATCAACTTTAATATCTGAATTAAGGAAAAGATTCACTTGTATAGGATTTACCATACCAAAAGCATAAATAAAATTCAACAGCTAATGTAAAAACAAATCTACAAATTCAAACATAGTTACTCTGAGATTCTTTGCTTAGAAATTATGTATCTCTTTTCAGTGAGCAAAGAACTTCCCTAATTTTTTTTTTTTTTTGGTACGGGATAAAAGCATTACATTAAAGATTAAGCCCAAATATATTTCCTGTTGTTTATATATTTCCAGGCATGATATAAAATAAATCAGGATTAAATAAGTATAGCATAGTCTTTGATAACTTCTACATACTAGTATAAATCTACCTAATGGTTGTGGTTTGTTGCTGTATTAAAGTGGGAATTTTATATTAAACTATAGAAGGATATTAAAGCATAACTGGAAATACTTTGAACCTTGCTATGTTCCTAATATTATGGATTTTAACCCTGAAGCACAAATGGATCTCATTGTGAACTTTTGTTACTAGGGTGAGCAAAGATTATTCTTATAGTGACTCCAGATAGGCAGTTATACATAGTATGTATTCTGTATTGCAGTAATTTATAATGTTCTATAGAATAAATTGTTAGTAATGGAAATTTTTAATAATCATTGAAAAATAGAACAGAGGTACTCAATACTTTTTTGCTAATAGATATAGAGGTAGAAGTATTGAAATATTCTAAAAAAATCTATAAAAG